ACCTTATTTCCTCCTTAAATCCTCTTGGTAGCTTTCATGCGTGCAGCTCGGCAGGGTTTATTGATGGTCTCTCTAATCTTCAGCTACTCGAAGAATCTGCCTTGGCTGTGATTAGAGTTGCAGTCCACTTGGGCAGTAGATTAAAATATTAAACCGAACAGGCCAGATCTTGTCATCCTCACTCAAAGCTACTTTCTGTGTGGCTGAGGCTCTCCTCTTCAAACCAAGCTGCCTCTAGAGTGCTGGTCTGCGTTAGCTGAACACACTCCAAGAACCTGGCCTGGTCACAGCCTGTCCTCACTCCTGGCTAATTCAGCTCTCTCCAGGCTGAAGATGAAGTGCCAGACACAAGGTAACAATCTGCTGTGTTTGGTGGAGGACTGTGGCAGTAATGACTTTTGAACCTGGACTCATGGGCACTACATTTTAGGTGCCATCTCTTCCTCTTGCCTCCTGCCATTTGAATTCATAATGCTTGGCCTTTCCAGGGAATGGTAGCAATATTTAGTGCCACTTTAGACAAATACCGTTTGTCTCTGAAGTGGGTTTTGTTCTATATACATGAGCTTGCTTCCCATTAGAGAAGAGCAAGTGCTTTAGCTCTCGAACCAATCTCGGGACATTCTTCAAACTCCCGAGGCCACACACCAGGTTCTAGACCAGCCAGCTTCTGCCTGCTTCTGTGAGAGTTACATTTGCAGCTGATCATCCTCAAGTTACTGGTCTTGCATGGCTTCATTGTTTTTACAAGCAGCTCCAAACCAAAGGCAAAAAACTTGACTACAATTTGAAATCATACTAGGAAATGTTAGTACTTCCACTAATAAACACAAGAGCTTTTAATGTAGCTGCAGGAATTCTTTCCCCCCACTGGAATAATGGCATTCTTGTTTCTATCTGAGCATAGAGGGGGCCTGATTCTCCTCCAGGTTTGTAGTGGTCTGGTTTGGCTGCCAAGAGGTAATAAAGCAAATGCCTGCTGCCGCCTTAGAACAGCATTGTCTGTGGGCACTCCAAGTCTGGGGAATGGTTATCATGAAGAAGCATAAAGTACATTAGTAATTGAATTTTTGTAGGGTCTAGTTAAACAGCGCACTGTCAAGACTTGATGCTGAAGTGACGAATAATTGGTTCATCACAGTTGATCTAATGATCTGTTGTCCCATAAATTGGTATGGTGTATGTCACTCCTCACTGTAACTGGAGATCTGGAGCACAGATGACTTTATTTAGAAAATAATTTTAAAGCCAGGCTACAAACACTGTGTTTTTCCCTCTTCAGTCTAAAGATAAAAGGATGAATCACAGTCATTACTTTCCTGCAAGTTAAGACAGCTGTGAGAGAAAGACTGGAAATACCACCCTGGTATTTTTCGAATGTGGTGACAGCATGCTGGTTTCTGCCAGGTCTCCATCCACCATAGTGAAGGCAGAGGCTGGTTTACTCAGTAGCTGGTACTTCCAAGTCCAAACTTGGATCAACTCGATTTGCTGTGCTTCAGTGGTGTGTCAGAGACAGCATCAGGGATGCTGAACTCGGGTGCACTGGGGAAATTCCTTACCGAAACACAGGTCCTACCGCTGCTTCTCTCCTACCCACACAGTGCCACCTAAAAAAAAGATACGTGTTCAGCAGCAGGATCAGAATATGGCTCTGATCACTCCCAAGTTCCTGAGGATTATTCACAGCTGGTGTCAGGCAGTCATCATCTCCCTTGACAGAGATCTCATCACTACTGCCATGTTACTTTGGCTTGGACTGTAGAGAAAGGAATAGCTTTTGGCAGATACACAGCTGGAATGAGATTTCATTGGCAGCTGGAGGCTCATTATTGCACCTCCCTTCTTGCTCCCTGAGCTAGTGAGGCTGCTGGTGAGGAGATGGATGAGATGCATCTTCCTTACACAGTGCTCGGAGAGGGCAAGACGTGTGTGGTGGTTCTCTGTTGCTCTGACTCTGCAGGGGCTTTCTGAGAAACTTGGGCTTCTGCTGCACACCTTCTTTCGGAGCTGAGATGTCCCAAGTGTTTGCACATCCCCGTATGAGTACACATTCTGTTTAAATACTGTTGTCAGAAAAATCTCAAAAGAGAAGGAAGGTAAAAAGTAAGTGCTGCTGAGCTGGAAATACAGTTATGCAGCTTTTCCACTTTTTAATTTCCTGTCTGGTCAGGAAGTTTAGCTGTTGTTAGCTCTCTCATCAGAACCCCACCATGGAGATCTGTGTTGAGGTGAGGGAGTGTTGGAAAGCTGTTGGCTAGATCTACCTTCACTGGACAAGGCTGAGAGAAAGGGAAGAGGTGGAACAAGGAGAGATCCTGCCTCACTGTATGTTGTGGGGCAGCAGAACAGGGCAAAGAACGACTCAGGATCCCTATACTAGCCTAGCTACAAAAAACTAGTCTTGCAGAAAAACTAGGTGGCTCAGTTCCGTGGGGTTTTGTTCACTTGTTGGTTAGTGGAGTTTTTTTGGTGGTTTATTTTCTTTGTATGTGTGTAATTATGTTCCCTCTGATATGTTCACACTGTATGAAAAAGTAATCGGGAAGAGTAAACAAAACATCTTGGTCTATTTTGCTCTTAAGCAGTTTTTGCTGTGCCTCCTTCATGCAGTTTGATTCCCATCTCTCTCCTCCCTTGCTATAAGGAACAGCTGAGTGCAAATCAGAACAAGAAATCCAGCCTGAAGCCAAAAGTACAATACACATAATGCTGCCAAGGGTAAGATTTGGAATGCACTGAAGTAATCGCCATCACATGCTATAAAATGAAACAGGCATTATGTTTTCAGGTGAGAAAAGGTCACTCTGAAGTCACTGGTGGACATGACCTGGTTGTGGAGGCTGGGGTGGATGCACTTCCATGGCTGGGAGATGGCACAGCTGTTCCTGTAGTGCAGCAGCAGCGTGTTCAGCTCTCAGGAGAGAGATCCAAGCGACTCAGCTCTGTCTTTTCCTGTGCTGCAGTTTCTCTTCTCACTCCCACAGAGCTCACAGCAGTGTGACAGGCGTCTAGGGCAGGAGCCAGAGCAAGAGGAAAGTGTCTCGACGCAGGAATCTTGGCTGCCATGGGAGAAGCTAGCCAAAGGAATTAACAGTTTCTGCTCCTTGCTGCAGCTGCCACAGTGTGACAATAGATTAGCAAGTCTATGTTCTATCCCTGTGGTATCTGCTCAGGACACTGGAGATCTGTCCCGGTACCATGCTTTTCCTTGGTACCCGGGAGGTGATTTTTATAGCTAAAGTACGTACTGCCCTGGCCCAGCCAACCCCACATTCCATGGGAAAGCTTCCCTCACCTCTCCATGGTTTATAACACAACAGAGCAGCAGCTCGGGGAAGGCTGTATGCCAGTCTTGTCCAGACTAGTCAGGTGCTCAGGGGCATCCCACCTTAAATTCTTCTGCCTGCACGTTGGTCTCTGACCTACACCCATATGATGAGAAACACAGCCCAGCTGTTCAGGGCTTGGAAAAAAAAACCCCTGCTGTTCTGCAGGCTTACTGTACATATAGGAAACCATGCCAAGGCTATCTCACAGCTGGATTGAGGTGAGCAGTCTCAGGGATAAATACGAAACACAAGCCATGAAACTTGATGCCGTATCTTAGATTCTTCAAAGGCAAAGGCTTTTCCAGTGATTTTTTTCCTGTCCTGATAGCTCAGTTCCACCCTAGTTTGGCAGGGCTGGCTATGTCCTAACCTGCCTCTTGTTTACCGCCTTTTCTTCTCTTGTTTTCCTCTGTGGCTGGCAGTTCATCTCACTGCTCTCAAATGTTTGGCTGGGAGAGGGGAGCAGAAGTGTCTTCCCCTCCCTCTGTAAAAGGGTAGCTGAGGGCTCTGATGGCTCTACCAAACCAGGCACTGCAAAGCTGGACTTCAGTTCCGTCTTCTAGGCTTCTGAAGAAATACCAGGAGCTCCCATTGGACTGAGATGTTAGTCACGATATAGCTTGTATTAAATGCGTTTTCATGTCCCAGTTCTGTGTGATATTCATGCAGATGCAGCCATTGCCAGAGGCCCTGGAGACGCCTTGTAGAGTTCATCACTGCTGCCACAATCGGCAAGCAGGAGTGCTTCAGCTCGTGCCAGAGTTCACCCCTCTCTAAAAAGGCAGCTATAGATTGCGTGGAAGCTGCAGCAACAGGAGCTGCTCAGCGGGGCCAACCAGGGCTCTTGAGCCTGAAGATAAATGGGAACTTTCATGGATGCCATGGATTAATATAAAAATCACCCTCTTGGACATGAGACGGCATTCCTTTGTCCTGCCTCTTCAAAGCTAGGTAAGCATCCACTTTTCGTTTTAATGGTCTCAATTTTGGAATTATTTATACGCCCTTTCAGCAGATTTTGCCACTGTGGTGTGTCAATTGAACACGTTGGTAACCAGGCTTGACACGGCAGCTGCTCCTCAGTGTGGTCACTGGCATTCTTATTGGGCACTGCTGCCAGCTGCCGGAATGGAAGGGAAATGTTGCTCTCATTGTTTTGTTACTGAGATAACTTGCACGGAAATACATCCTGGAACGAGCTGTGGAAAATACACAGCCTAACAGCATCGAGGCTGTGAATGATCTTAACCAGGTTCTTTGGCCCAAGTCGGAGAACCGCGCACATCGCACGGGTCCTTGGTGACTTGGAGACATCTGTGAGCCCACCCCGCCCCACGAGCAGGTGCCGGCACGCTGAGACGCGGAGCCCGCCCGGCTCCGTGGGTGTCCCCGGTGCCCTGAGGGGCTCTGCCCGGCTCCGTGGGTGTCCCCGGTGCCCTGAGGGGCTCTGCCCGGCCCGAGCTGTCCCCGGTGCCCTAAGGGGCTCTGCCCGGCTCCGTGGGTGTCCCCGGTGCCCTGAGGGGCTCTGCCCGGCCCGCCCCGTGCTCGGGCTATCCCCGGTTCCCTGAGGGAGGCGGCGCGCGCTGCGGGAGCGGCGCATGCGCAGGGGCCGGGCCCGGGGGCTGCGGACGGCGGCGCAGAGCCGGCCCCTCCCCGCGCCTCCGCCCGGCCCGGCCGGCCGGGGCGGCTCCGACTGCGCTGCCCGGCGCTGCCGCCGACGCGCGGGAGGCGAGGCGAGGTGAGGCGAAGCGGGGTGAGGGAGGGGCGCCGGGCCGTGTGGGGTCGCGGCGGTCGGTGCGGCTCGTGGGGTCCCATGGAAGCCACCCCGGCGAGAGCGCCGCGGGTGCGGGAGGGCCGGGCCCAGCCGAGCCCCAGCCGCCGGTGCCGCGGGGCAGCGTTGTCCTCGCCCTACTCTTACCAGGCTCTGCCCCTTTCCCAGCCAAGGGCGGCCGAGTCGGGGCGGTCCCCGTGGGCCCCGGGCCGGGGACCCTACTGGTGTCCGTCCCGCCAGCTCCCTGTCCCTTGGGGTGTCCCGGACTCGCGTGAGGGGAGCGCGGTGCGAGCCCTTAGCGCGGCCCGGGCCCTGGCACTGCCGCGGCAGCGCCCGCCGTGGGCAGGAGTCCAGCCCCTGCTCCACGAGGAATCCTCAGTCCGGGCGCCCCCCCCCTTGGCTGACTGAAACGGGGGCTCCTGGGGCCTAAAACGCGGGATGCGGTGTATGTCTGGCTGCGTTGTTTACAATGTGTCCTTGTAAATATGTCAAAAGTTTCTTCTAGCTCACGCAGGTGTGGTGTGGTAGATGTAGAAAAGCAGACGCTGTATTTTCCTCTGTGAGGTCATCTTCTCATCTTTCCAGGCCACTCGCCTCTCATTTGTTTTATTTGCCGATTTCCCAAAGTGTAACTCTTAAGCTCTATTAAATAATAATAATAAATAATAATTACGTCTTTATGTGCCTTTGCCAGCCCAGCTGAGTTGATGAGGAGTGCACAGGACGGAATTTCCGCCAGGTATTTGCATGACAGCAGAAGCCCTGGGGGTGAACAGGACAGTGCTGGCCGGAGCCCTTTCTCCCTCAGAGGATAGCTTGAGGTAACAGGTGAGGAACTGGTCAGGTGAGTGGAGTACTGGTACCTGCAGAGGTCTGTGTTTGCTAGGTGGAGGCTGGAAGGCCGATGGACCAGTGCTTGGAAAGGCAAGGGCTCAACAGCTGTGACTCTGCTGCTCCACAGCAGCTGTGTGTTCAATTCACCTGTGTCTGCACTGGTTCCATGAGTAATTCTGTGTTTTGTTGTGGTAAAAGCATGCCAGTATAGCCATGCAGCCGAGCCCTTGACTTTCCTCAGGACAGATCTATATTAAGGTGCATTAGTTTCAGCTCTCTTTAGCTCCAAAAATACCAATTGATTCCTTAGGACTTGACAATTTAATTAGATCAGTAGGAGGAAGTGGGATGAGGCTGGCTAGGGGTCTGTTGGCAGCCCGTGCTGCTGGCACAGCTGGATGCAGTATCTTGGGGGGCTCTTGTGAGTGGCCGCGGTAGATCACTCTGTCACCCTTGTTGCACTCCCAGCCAGCTCAGTGTCTCTCACTTGGTCTCTAGGAAAATGGTTATGGTGTCTGTGTCTGGTGTCTGCACCAGTGTCCCCTCCTCCCATCCTTGCTGAAGCATTTGGTGAGTGGGCAGCTGGAAAGGTGTTCTGGTGTGTAGCTGACAGGACCAAGAGGGGTGGCTCCTGTTTCTCTTGGTCTAGAAGAAGACTAGCTCTTCTGCTTAACTATTTGGATATTTTTCAGTTGTTTTTAAAGCTAGTTCAAACGGTGGTTACTGAGAGAATGAATGAACAGAAGGATGACTGAATTTTTTCAGAAGGGACCTACTGCCTTAAAAAAGAAAAGAACAGCACTGTTACTATAGCAGCTAAAGAGCTGCTGTTGTGTATGAGGATAATGTGGCTGTCACATCATAGTGATAAGTGAGGTAATTAATCTCCCATCAGCAGCAGGAGATTGATAGAGTATCAAGTAGATATGGACTTGGGTGTTTTCTTAACATCTCACTAAACCATAGCCACAGTTTATTGTTCCAGTAGGATCACCAAGAGTCTCTGTATCAGGAGGAGAAAAGGGATCAACAGCAAAATCATGCTCTTACCTTGCAGACATGGTGACTTCAAACATCGGTGGAGCAACACGCAGAAAACTGGTTCTGTGGTCAAATGTATTGCAGGCTCTGTGGTTGCGTAGCTCTTGCCTGTGGCTGTAATAAATACTTGGCATACCATACAGATCTCGAGAGCAAGAGGTTTAAGAGTAAGAGAGTAAGAGGCTTTACATACTTCTAATATGCAATTGGAGATTTCTCAAGATGTGTCTCAAAAAAACCCTCTAAAATTCCTCAGTGAAGAGTTGCTGTGGAGACAATTGCTAGGTAGAGTCAAGCGTTCCAGTCCCTTTTTTTTTTGTTTGGGTCACATACCATTCAGTTGGTAAATGCCTGTCAGGAGAGGGGTTGGAAGTGTAACTGAATATTTGGTACCCTGTGTTACATTGAATCATTGTGTAGCAAAACGGAGATGTTGTAGTATGAATTGGGTGGATATGAGTTCTAGTTTTCCAATACATGTCTTATTTCAGAACACTGGAAATAACTTTCTCCTGACACATGAAATGCTACATCGAGACACTTAATGCAATACAGTTATCCCATGTCTTCTCATGGAGCAAATTACTGGCAGCTAGAAAGGAGGTCATGGATGCTTCTTAGCGTTCATGAGTAAGACTACTGTGGACATTATTGGTGCCTGGTATTCTACCACCTGCAGTTATCCTGTGCTGAGGTGCCCTGGTTCGCCTTGCCATACGTGTTCAGGAGTCCTGAGCATTTGCAGCTAGAACAGGACAAGGAAAAAGAGCTGGCAGGGACATGGAATTTTCTTTGTCTCAGCTGCTCTGAGCCATGACATGGTTTGTTTGTGGAATGTCAGCTGCTGCTGCTTCACATTCTTGGCTGTAGAGTCTGAAGTGTGTACGTGGTCTGATCTTGCTTTTGGTCCAGGCCCTGTGTGATCCTTACCTGGCAGGGTAGACATGCTGCGCTATAACCCAACCTGTGTTAATTTGGCTTTAAGGACATTTTTGTAGGTAGACCAAGGCAAACACACAGAGTCCTTTCTCTGCCTCCTTGTTCTACAAGGCTGCTGCAGAAATGAAAGGTGGTGAAGGACCTGCCAGGTGTCCTGCAGTGGTCCATGGCTGCCTCCACGCTGGACATTCTGCCCCAAAAAGCATCGCCTGTCTCATCTGATGATGTGACTGGCAAGACAAGAGGCAGAGATTTGTGCAGTGTGGAAGCACAGGTCCTTTTCTCATTCAGGCGTTGTGCTGCTGGGAAAAATGTGGGTAAAGTGCATGCTGCTGCTCTGTGCCTGAGCAGGCAGGGCAGGAGTCTCTGCATGGAAGTGTTTGTAGCTGCCTGTTTCAGCTGAGGGTTGCTGCTTAAAGTTTTCAGGCAAAATAAAAAGCATAATAATGTAGCATAGCATTCTCAGGTTCTCCCATGCTTGTGAAGTCCATTCTTTATGAGGATCGTTCTTTAGTCAAAGGAGGGTGGGCCTAGTTCTCTGTTGACAGCATGTTTTATGCTTTATTGACTTCAGGGGAATTGCTTCTAAATTTATGCTGTTGTGAAGGCTGAATCAGGCCCGAGAGCTTGGCTTTATCCATGTAACTTTGGTTGCCTTGTGTAGGTTTTATAAGCCTGCACACATAGAACCCATTGTTTTTTAAGTAAAATAGAAAATTTTGCAGAATAGCTAAAGCCGTATTTCTTCCTTAAGATCAGCAGAGCGAAACTACACATAAAGGAAAAGAAATTGTGGAGCTGCAGTCATGTTGTCATTAGGTTCATTCTGGTTTCATTTGGAAATTTTGATCTAAACAATTAGTTCAGTTGAAAATGGTTTGCGTTAATGCTGTACTGTTCCCTTTGGAGCTGGTAAGGATTTTGCCATCAGCAAAATGGGAGATGAGTATGAAGATCTCACCATGGTAAAGTGAAAGTAGCAAAAGGAAGTTCCTGGAGTCCTCTGGCAGGAATAACAGTATTTTGTGGTATGTAATCGTCATATACTGTTTGGAATTAGTGCACCCATTTGTGTTGGGTGTTGTGTGAGAAAACAGGTAACGATGCTGCACCAGGGAGGATTCTGGTCTGTGAGCACTGTATAATGAGAGGGTAGGATAAGAAAAGGGAAGTGCATTTTCCTCCTGATCTTGGAACAGGGTTTTCAAGACAGCCTTGTAAATTAATGTTCATGGAAGATGTCTTATCTGTAACTTGTCTTTGAAGAGTAAAAGCCCTTCTTTGCACATAAGCAGGTGTTGTCTTTCTGAGTCCTGAAAAGTCTGAAAGCACTGGATCATTTTGTATGGCATTCAGAAACTAAAGGACAAATCTTTTGCTGCAAATTGCTGTTGCTCCGTTACAACCAGCAGAGCACTGCAGATTGACTCTGGTGAGAGATGTTAAGTCACCTCCCCAACCTCATGTATACATGCTTAGAGGCAGACACAATTCTTTTCTGAGGGACTTTTCTCAAAAAAAAGAAAAAAAGTCCCAAAACTATTCTTTTTCCACACTCCACCAGCTCCAGAATGTGAATGTCATCTGGCCAGATGCTCAGGACTAAATACAGTGCTCTAAACAAGGTCCCACAAGTGACTTGTATGGAAAAAGAAAAGAACCACAATAGCCAGATACTTTTTTGACTTTTAAATGGTTCTTTTGCACTTTTTTTGTATCAAAAATGATGCTTTTGGCTTCTACTTTATATTTGCTAAATACAAATCTGTGCTTTCCAGGCAATAACTCCAGGGCTTCTCAGTGCTGACTTTGTTGAAACATACATACTTGCAACATGAGTATAACCCAAAACATTACTGGTTTTGCTTTCATGAATGGTGTGTATTGTATATGCTGACATGCCCTTCTTAACTCTGTGGATCTGTAGTCTTGTCTTCCTCTAAGTCCTTTGCTTAATATTTTCTCCTAATGGATGATGATTTGTGCCATGCCAAGACGTGTCTCTAAATGCACTTGAGAGTGAATGTGTGGAAAACAAGGGGAGCACTGATTTGGCTCCCTGGTTCAGGTGGGGACTTGGAGCCGTGGAGCATGTGGGGATGGCAGAAGGCAGATCTGAGTGAGTGGTCAGAGCAGCACAGGGAGTCAGTGCCCAGAGATATGCTGTTTACAAGCACCCTCTTTTATCTCGCTGCCCTGCAGGTGCCTGGTCAGGTGCTCAGTGCAAAAGCCAGATGCTGTGGCACGGGGGCTTTCTCCTGTGTGGAGCGGTCGACGGAATTCCCAGCTGTTGTGTTCCAGCCCAACCTGCGTGCCTGAGCCACTGTGGCAAGGTGTTGCCATGTACTCCAGCTTTGTGCTGGCTCTGTAAGTGAGCCTTGTGATAATTTTAACTTGGGAATTAAAAAAGGCCTGTATTGAGGCCTGGGGATGCCTGCTGCCTGTTTTGGGTCTGCTTGTGTGGGAAACTGCTCACTGTCTTTTGCAGAGAAGTTAGGTTTTTAAACTGTTTTTTTGGTTTTTTTTAAATGTAGCCACAAACCAAAACCATAACCTTCACAGAAATAAACATGCATCCTTGTGCCAGCTGGGGCCTTGGCATGCTTTATGCTGTATAACTTGCTGAGACTGTAATTTCTTAGGAAAGCAGTTAGATATTGGCAACTATGAAATGTCAGCCCTCAGTAAATGTTGTAATAAGTTGTTTTAGCTACAGCTGGGGATTTAAAAGGCAATTATTTACTCACAGCATTCTTGGTAGTTAGTGCAAGAATAAAAATCAGACTTTGGACATGCTGAATAGCTTGGGAGAAGGAAGCAGGGTTCTCATGGTATGTTTGCTAAGGGCCACAACTGTCTGGATGCATGATTGGGAACCTTTAGGGTGTGCTAGGTTATTTAAGTTGTGTATACACCTGTGCCACAGCATATCACTAAATTTTTACTTTGGTTTTACTAGATCTATCTAGATACAGCTGTTAAAATGATGGCTGTTTTGGAAGTTTATGATAATTCAGTTTTGGGAGGAAGTAGAAAATGTGCTGGTAACTTGAACTTGATTGACTTAAGTAGTAGGTGCAGTAAAACTCATCCTGAAGCTTTTCTCTGAATGTGTGCTAGAGCTGGGAATTGCTGCTGAAGTCTTTGTAAACTGGTTTTAAGTAACTGGAACTGTTGGAGTCAGAGGCGCAGAGAATATTCCCTGATCTGTGCTGACGAGCTCTGACTCTCAAGAGAACACTGAGTTTAACTTAAAACCATGGAGAAAAAACCTTCTAGATCTAAGTAGAGAAACTGAGAATGTGAGTGTGTAAGTTATAATTATATTAAGTCACTGGGTGAGAAATTTAGAGTCGAGGGTTTAAGTTATATTAGTGAATAAGAGACAACATGGAGGGTTTGGGGCATTGTCCTTTTCTCCTTCTTCTCCTTCTTCTTCTAGGGTTTTTGGGTAATATTAGGGGATTGGATGAAAGAATCTGCATTGTGAGATGCGGATGTCTAATTGTCGGGTTAGTAATGAAAATAAGTTACTTGGCATTTCACTATTGGATGGGTTGACACTTAAAACACCTTGAAGAGGTACTTCTTCAGCCATTTTGCACTTTGTTAGCCTAGTGTATATAGCTCCTTGTACACTGTAAATATCTAATATAGATAAGGAAAAATAAACAACTGAGCCTGAACAGGAAAACAGATCTCTCTCTCTTGTCAATCTTGGTCCTGGGAAAAAGAACCAAGCCACCAGTGTTGCACCCAGACATGAAACTTTAGGAAATGATCTTTGAGGGGTTAGGTAGAAAGGCTCAGTTCTAACTTACGTTGGTGTTCTTCATTTATGTAGTATATCCTCTGCAAACTGTATTGCTTGGAATTTTTAGCAGAAGGAAAAATGAGTTCACCATTAATTGAGCAGCCGTCTTTCCTTTCCTTTCGAAGTTCAAAGTTTCTATTTAGTGGTTCCATAAAAATTCTTGATTCATGTTTGTTACACTGATAGATGCACAGCTCCTACACTTTGGCAGGAAGCCCTTCAAAGATATTTTCAGCATCTGTTTTGCAGTATGTCTCTTTAAATGTTTAACTTCATTGCAATTTTTTTTTTTGCTAGAAGATATGATCTGCCAAAGTAAATATTTGGTTTGTCACAGTGCAGGTTCATTTTTTGATGTTTATATGAAAAATATTTTTTCATCCTTTTTTCATGAATGCCTGGGCATATGTTAGCTGTCACTTACGGTGATACATCGTGGTAGCTATGGTGTATTTCCACATGGTTTACAACAGCTCTGGAAGCCAGATAAATGTTTTAGCCGGATCCTGTGTGATTTGATCCTTGCTGGAGCGGTGTACTCTCTTGGCAGACACACCAGGTGCCTTCCCATGCTGCTGGTGGCCTTCTGTTTGCCATGTCCCAGAGAACCATGGCTTTTACTACTCCACAGTGAGCTGGAGGAGGCAGCTGCTTTTTCTCTCCTCTTCAGTATGGCACCCTGAGAGCTATGTCTAAATTCAACCTTTTAATTAAGGTTTATTTCAGGGCAAGGAGTGCATAATACTGTGGCAGTTCCACTGATGTTCTGTGTGCTTCTTTTAATTGTTTTTATGTGTTCAAAGAACATACAGTGGGTGAGAGTTGTTTTTCAGTAGTTACTATCAATATTCTAATCATGACTAGGGGAATGTTAGCTCACATAATCTCAATAATGGCTTTTGGTTGCATCACCAGAGTACAGAATGTAAAACTAAGGAGGCCTTGGGGTTAGCTGGGTAATATGTTTAACTGAGGATTGCTGGACTGAGACCCTGACTTGGACCAGTGAATTTAAGAAAGTAGTTGTAATATCAAGGTGTTGTTTCATACCACGTTTTCCTTCACAAAGGCCTATGTTCCTAAGTTTGGTTAAAACTGTTGCTAGGAGACAATGTATGAGTCGTGATGAGAAGACTCTTGGGGTTTTAGTTTTTGGGCCTTCCAGCTCCCATGTGCAGGTAGATGCTGTGTTCCCTGCACAGTTCTGTTCATGGGGATATATCCTTTGCTGCACAGGACCGGATTGTAATAATGGCTACAGGCATTTGCCCTGTATTGAGGCAAGGTATGCAGCAGAATGGCAAGACAGCCTTGATTTTGCTAGTGGAAACCTTCCTTTGGAGCTTTTCACTGAAATCTGGTGCATTAGAAGGACAAGAAATTTAAGAAAGGTAAATTGTAGGTTCAGGTCATTTGTCAGTAAGCTTTCAATCCAACAAAGTGTTTATATGCCATATATGTAATTTTAGCCTTGAATGGGCCATCGTTTTTTCTCTGTTCGTGCTTTTCCTAGTTGATGCATTTTCTTAAAGTAGCCCTAATTCAGGCCAACAGATCATGTTTAACTCTGGAAACTAGGGACAGGTCCAGACCAAGGTAAAATATCAGGCCTTGTCACTCACAGGTTATATACATGGTCTCTGACATCTATAGTGCACACCTTTTAGTCTGAATGTACAGACTCCAAAGTAGTGTAGCTCATGTAAAGTTTTGGCAAAGTTGATGGTGCATGATGCCTGCAGGGTGAGTCTTTCAGCATTTTATGGAATCCTTTCCATCTGTTCATCCACTGTCTGGTGGCTAGCACAGAAACCTGGTTGTCAATTGAAAGGCTTTTGTCTGAAGCTGGCCACCTTTTAAATGAAGGCAACATGGTTATTTGCTTGGCAACTTAAATCCATTTCTAGGCTATGGTCTTTTCCCTGCCTTTCAAATAGTCATTCACCACAGCAAGGCTTCGATCTTCCTCTTACAGATCCATTTCAGCAAAGCACCTGCGCCATTGAGTCCTTGAGCCTGTGGTGTGGAAGTGTAGGCTAACTCCAAACTGCACATAGGATGCTCATCACTTAAAGGTCAGATCTTCCAAGGATGCCTGTAAATGTCTGGGGCAGTTGGCAAAATTATAATTTCTTAGAGGGAGTTTTTTACATTGCAGCCTTAGAATGCATAGAATGGTCATAGAGTGGCAAATTGAACTGTTACTTTTCCAGGCCTGAGTATGATAGTAATTCGTGTGTAGGTGTGAAATGTGTTTGTGCAATGTTTCTGTGTGGATTTGCTGTATTTTAGGAGATCAGAGAGAGGTGCTTTTGTGTGGCAAGGTGCTAAGAGGCATGACAGCTGTTTGAAGGTGCTGCTGGGCTTGGAATCCATTTCTGATCAAGAGATTAACAAGCAGAAATGGCCAGAAATTCACCGAACATGCAGGTTTCAGACAAGAAGCTCCTGCTGCAGAATTCTACAGTGCCGGTAGCACGGGATAGCCGATGTTGGTTGTACACAGAAACAGTGGTAGGAAACTTAGGCTAAGACATCATTGGCAGGATGGACAGAGGAGAGGGGGAAGCTGATGTCAGCTCCTTGCTGGGCATTGTTCATGTTCACCTTCTCCAGTAGGCAGGAATGGAACTTCACAAAGTAGGAGGAGATGCAGGACAGCAGTCCTGGCCACTTGAGGTCATGGTCCACAAACTGTGGAAGATGTTTGTTTTCTCCTTGATTTGCCCTTTGCTGCTGTGGTTTTGGAACAAAGGATGACTGACTGGGAACAAAAGGATTAATTTTAAGGCTGGATTGAGTTCCCCTAGCTCAGTCACAGCAGGTCAAGTTACTCAAGAGATTTGTGACTCCCCAGGGACATGGCTTCATGTTTGTGCAGGGGATATGTCATAGCAGAGGTACAGAAGACAGAGATGGACTTGTTGGTGTTTATTTTAAGAGACGTTGAAAGACCTGGAAGGGTTTTTTTCCATGTTGTTGAATTTATACAAAGAAGCTGTATAAAAATAACTGGCACCGGATGTAGAAGCAATAAACTAATTCCACGTTAAGTCTTGAAACTGTGCTATGTAACCTAAGAAGTATTTTCACCTATTGACAGCTTCCTCTTTATTATCTGCAGAACAAGAGTGAGGGAATTTACTAGCTGTTAAACAATTTAATTTTTCATCTTTAAGAGGACTAAGTAAACCTCTATCTCACTACGCTCAGTCTGAGCTCCCCATACACAATGATTGCCGATGTTTGTTGCTGGCAGTCATGGGAATCTTTTGGTACCAGTGTGTCAGCAAGAATTAAACCTAGGAAACAGCCTGTCACCTGACTGCTGCCTTACTTTCTGGGTTTGGCTGCATTTGGTTCCGATCCAAAAGAAGAGAAGTGACACCAACAGACTCTGTCTGACCTATGTGCATAACATAACCCCCCAGTACAGTAAATATGTGGAGTCACCAATGTGTTTGGGATGCTCTGCTTTTGGCAGTGCTTGGACCCAGTTTCACCATTTCAACAAACGAGGTTTAGTGCCTTCTAAAAAGTCTGTTTCAAAACA